GCGATGCTAGAAACCATTTTTTCGCTAGCCTTCGAATTGGAGCATGAATCTCTTCTATTCATCATTGATATGATTATACTATGACGACGAATGTTTGCATGTGATTTGCTTGGATTCCATGCAAAATCTTTGCAATTCCTCCACTTGCTTAATGGTGACTTTCCGAAATAGTGCCATTCAACAACCCTTGCGTTCAGCTCATCTGCTTATATACGGCAAAATGTCCTTTTTAAAAGAGTACCGAATTTATCCAGCTGGCCGGCACATCATAGTACCATATGAGTCCTTTAAAAAAAAGGTAGTCGCCAGAGCTTCTGTGACGAGTCAGGTCGTCTTTTCCGTCAGTCGAGCTGGAGAGAGTTTCTGGTAGATACGAAAAAAAACTTGCTTCCGATGAATCTCCTGAGATGACATTGTTATGGCGACCTTTATTTCGAATGAAAGTGCATGAAGAATAGATTCGTTGTTCGATCTCACCAGACGAGTACGGATGAATCTCGTACTGCAGCCGTTTTGCTTCCAGACGATATTCATGTTGACGCAGTCCACGAGACTTTCTTCCTCGTTTCGAATGAAAACGCGTTGAGCTTTTGTCCATCATTTGATGGACCTCATCAGAGCTGGGTGTCATTCTTGTTAAAGTCTCACGTTAACACTAAAGCAAAAACACTATCCGGCTCTTTTTCTTCTTCATGCACTTTCATTCTAAATGAAGGTCGCCCTAACAGACTTTCTGGTACATAACATCGTCCAGCATCGAATTGGAATATTTTTTGCTCGCAAGTAAGAGCGACTGGAAACCAAGCGTCAATTTGTCACATCGAAGGCAGAAGTGACTGTCGGGTTGGGAGCATAAAGACCACATCTGTAGGCATCGTCAAAGAGAAATTCTTTTTTTTTAATTCTTAAATTTTCACGAGTCAAGAATCTAAAGCGGAGACAATAGAAGAAACCCATTTAGCCAATATTTAGGGCCAGATCAAAAGTCCCCTTACGATAAAGTGAAACAGGTTTATTTGAAACCCACATCTTATTCATATATTCCATCATATATGCATTAGCCTCATGTTGATATTTTTTAATTTCATTCTACTTTTTTTCCTATTATAATTTCATCTATGCTCTTTATACCTCAATGTTATATACTACTTGCCCAATGTTGTTCGGCTTGGCTTTAACCCACCATTTTTTTTCCATTTACCCGACAACATATTATTTTGCCATATTATTTTCAACTAATACCCCATCTATATCTCAACAAACATTTCTATCATATTGTTTTCTTTTCACTTTCCCTCTTGCGTATGTTTTACCGCTAACCCAATCATTTTGCCTCACTCCCTCACACGAGCGTGTGGGTTTGCGTGTGTGCACGCAACGATAGCAAAAAAATAATATTCCAAACGATGATTATTTTGTCCTTGATTCGTCTAATCATTTGGTTACAATCAATTAATTAACCAATTATTTAATGAATTTGGCGATTTGTGCTTCTAAAATCTGACAAGATTTAGTTCAGCCTGATATTATTTCCTTTCGCCATGCAGTTTTTATCAATTTTGCTAACTTAATCAAATAAATACGTACATGTCTATCTATCAACCTCTTTACAATACAAATCTATTCATGCTTAATTTCACACTATTTTAATTTCATACTCATTTGCGGTGAATTTTGTCAGTTTGCCTCAGCTGCGCATCGATGCTGAATTTTCGCCCAGCTCACACATTAATAAGTACATTTTAACTACCCAAACATTTTATTTACACTTTTGCTCAGTCATATTTTACGTTTTAGCTCGTTCTTATCGCACACATACAAACATACACGCATGCACGCCACCACGTAGGCACTCAAATTTTTTTATACCATTCACTTACAAAACTGTATATCCTAACTTCTTTTGGGTCGCACAGTGCACCCTCAAAAAGGCATTCATT